GCACTGGCTCCCCCGCGAGCCCCGCTTCCAGACCTGGTCGCCCCTTTGGACGAGCCTCCCCCAGGCCAGCAACGCATTTCACCCTGAGCTTAAAAACGTTCTCCTAAAAGGCACCCGTTCTATGTGTGTGTGAGGCTATATACATATATAGCATATGGCGTATATACAGCGTATATACATATAGCCATACGTACAAAGCACACACTCAAACATAATGGCTGTATATATAGCACAGAGAGAGAGAGAGAGCATTCATATATGGCAGCCATATATGCAATGCGCATGCATTTGTAACATATACTGGTGAACATAACATATAGGTGGCCTATAAATATATGTAAATAAATAAATGAATAATACTCCTAAATTGTTTGCGCATAAATATTGAATCACCGTGACTTAATAAACCATTAATATTAACATCATATATGAAATGATATTTAAAATGCAGTATGTATGGAAGCTCAACTTTCCAGCAACTCTGTGTAACTGGACCAGATGACCAATTGCAGTCAGGTGGTGATTGGTGGTATTCATGTTAAATACATAACACTATTTGGTTTTCCCTTTAGTTTCCTGGTCTTGTGTGGATCATGGAAAACCCTGTCACCAGTTAAAATTTCCACAGCTCCAGATTTAACACAGCAGGCTGTTGCCCCCAAAAATGTTTCCTAAGAAGATGAAATCAATGATCCAGACTCAAGGTCCAGAAAGAAGCCAAAGTCCAGGCCAAGCAGTCCAAAGTAAGTAGCCGGGGAAGGGAGGACCAGGCAGGGTGAGCAAGCTAAAACTGGAAACCAGGCGACTGATGCCCTTTTCTTTCCCGCTTGTGTAGCGCTGGCACGGGGCTGGACCAGGCAAGGCCGCGTGATGACAAGCCCTCCGAGGGCAGCTGCCCAGCAGAGCAGATCTGGACGCCATGGCTGCCAAGGCACATGCACGGAAGCTGCCCTCTGGCAGATCAAGAGGACTGCACCCCTCCAGCATTTTGCAGACGAAAGGTGGGACGTGCAGGTAGCTTTCCAAATACCGCTCTGCGACTCCCACCTCTTCCTTATTCCACATAACTGAAGATTCTTCTCTGTCTGATGTTCCCTCTGCCAAAGCCCTGCCTTCCTCTGCTTATTCAAAAGCTGAGACTGTCCTTTCGGTTAAAGTGATACTGGAGCAACATAATTGGGTTACCGTATGTCGGGAGTGGTGCAGAGCTTGTCTCGGCACCTCCAGCGTGTGACGTGACCCTCTGCATACCGCGGGTGCCTTGGGAGGTGTTCTTCTTCACTGCTCTTTTTACAGGCTTGGTTTTCAAGAAGATCAAGAGCACAGGAAGTTACCCCATGCTACCACTTGCCCATCGAGTTCCCCACTGCCTCCTCTGGCTGGCAGCAGCTTGTGGGGTGTCAGGGTGCCCTGCCTGGAGATGTTTAGAACTGAATCTAGGAGCCTCTGCGCAACATGCAGCTGGTTTATTCCCAAATTGCAGTGCTGAGACACAATGCCTGATGTGACTTCTAACAGTAGAAAATGACTGTTGCGTTTAATAAATCATACAATCTCTGGCACCTGATGTCTGAAACGGGGAAATGTGGGTAAGTTATCTCCCGAGTACAAGTTCCAGAAAATAAGGATAGTCACTAGTATGGAATTTGCTATGAAATTATTAGTATGGATGATGTACAGGCTCCAAAGCTGCCTGCATGAGTGACATATCAGTTGCGCTCCCCTGCCGAGAAGAAGACAGCGCCTCTGAGCATGGACGCTGTAAAGTTCTTCGCGACCCCAAACTTCAGAGGGGGCCAGCACCTAGGCTTGAGGCCCATCTTTCCGACAGGTGGGGTGGACAATTCTGCTCCATTCTCATTCTCTTGCATGCCTTGGCCCAGCCATCAAGCGAAACGGAGCTGGCAGCCACGAAATCAGAAAGAAGGCTGAGACTTGGAAGGGCAGCAATGGTGGCGCTAGAAAATATCAACCGTGTGGATCGTTCACTGAGGACCGAGACCGAGACCATCCACACTGCTGCATCCCGGGTCACGATCAGTGTGAAAGCTGGACAGTGAAGAAATAAATGCCTGTTGCATTCAAAGTGTGCGGCTGGAGGGGAGTGTTGCAAAGGGTGACACAAGAGAAACTCAAACAAGAGGCTCCTAGATCAAACCAAGCCAGAACTCCTGGAAGCAAAAGAGGCCATTGTCCTTCGGAGCCTCATCCCCAGAGGGTAAGAGTCGCGGGAGAAGACCGGGAAGGTCAAAGGAAGAAGAGAAGGATCGATTCCAGGAGGGAAGCCGGAATCTGGAGTTTACAAGAGCCGAGCAGGGCGGTCAAGGACAGGGTGTTTTGGAGCCGGAGATGACAGGATGGCAGTGACAGCGACAATAACTGCACATACACAAGGACACGCACACTCTCTCCCCCTCCTGCATTTCTCAAGTATGTTGATACCTCCCTCTTGTTTTCTAGTGACCTCCATTTTGACTCCAGCACTGTCGTGTCACCTGCGTTCGCTCTTAGAGAGGATTGTCGCTGAACAGGGAGGGTGGAGATAGAGGCGCACAGTGAGTTGCGCAGGTGCAGTTTGGCAGAACCCCACAGATGTTCCCACCGTGAAATGGATCATTTGCGGTCCTGTGGGGGCACTGCACGGTATCTCCTTTTTGGGAGGGGGGTTGTCACAGGAGGGACATCGTGCCAGCGCTGAAGAGTCCATAGCTGACTTTCTGTATTGTTTCACATCAATTCCAAATCATTAGATCAGATTAAATACCTTTGGCCTTTCTGCAGTAAAAGGAAAAGCATTCTTCTAACTATCTGCCCAAATGCCATCGTTTTCACTGAAAATGCTAATGGGATTGTGTAAAGGTTATTTCATTCATTTCATCCAGGGGCACAGCGACAAAGTTGCGATGCCCTTTGTGTGTGCCTCTTTAATGACAGATTTTATCTCTGAGAACCTCGGGATCTTACAGCTCTGCTTGGCAGGCTGAAGCCTCTCAACTTCAAGCATCTCCTAACTTACCAAGTACTTTTAGAAAAGATATAATGGATGTTAATGAGCCCAGCTGGCAAATACTTCACAGCTGAGGAGGTTTCTGCTTCCTGCTGCACCCACCTTGCGTCATTCCCAACTGCACAGGCAGCGAGGCAACGGGGAAAGAAGAACCGCAGAGAATCTTTGGCGATGCTGTAGCTGCCGAACTGGAAATTTTGTTCGCTCATTTATGTATTTAAAGCTTT